CTATTGAGGTGAGGATAATTCCAAGGGGCGAGGGAATATCCACAGATGGCACCATGGTTGGCGTAGGCCTTGGAACCAGATTGCTCAAGGTCAACATCACCAAGCCGAGGAAACATGAATTCCACCAGTTTGTCGACCCTGGTCCATTATGCAAAACATCAATGATCCGAAGATTGTTGCAGAAAAGACTAGGTACTTGCCGATGATCGACTTCGTAGCTTCGATCGCAAGATACCAACAGAACCGAGGACCCTGAGAATTCTCAGACATCCAAGATATGGACTCTGAAGCCCATTATGGATTTGATGAGACATGTTCAGGTTACTTTAGTTTTGGGGCATTCGGTCTTCTTAAAGAAATCATGAGACCAATATTTAGAAGGTGCTCGAATAACACTAAGAAGCAGGGCATTCGTGCCAGACTTGCGACTTGCCAGATTCGAAAGGTCCAAACTTTGGATAATGAGGTTTTCTTCTCGGAGATATTTTTGAACCAGTCTCTGACAGTGACGTTCCACACACCCGATCAGAGTTGGACAAGATCGATACGGAGTACAACATGACCAGCACCAGTACTCGCACAAAAATTCAGGATCTACCGTTCAATAACCAGACAGATCCACCTTTCATTTACGGCAAAGAAGTAACCAAGCTTCAACAAGCAATGAAGCAGTTCCCGCCAGGAACAGAGCTTGACATTGAATCTTCCAACAAATTCGACTCACGGATTCTAGCCATTCATAATGGCACAAGAAGATTGCGGTATCTTTGTAACCCCATTCACTGTGCGACATGCGCAACCGCACCATCGGCATCAACTCACCCTTGACGACACCGCCGGATGACGCTTGCGCGTTTTTGCGGCAATGTAACACACCGGGCAAGCTTTGGGTTTTACCAGCGCACAGATGTGACTGGAACGACTATATTCTCCGACACAGTGGCAGCGCTAGTGTTCTCACAGAACCGCGTGTCATTCAGACAAGCAACAACGATTCGGCCTAGGCCAATCGACAAGCAACACGGAGACGCAACGGTGATGACGGCAATGATCCACCAGGTCCGCTGGACCAGCCTGATCAAGACATGCCACAAGCACCTCAGCCACCAAGACTAGACCCCACCAGCCACGAGGCACCAATGCCGCAGGCAACGCCTGTCACACAGCAAAAACAAGGCAATGCGCCCAGATGCACGAGATCTACAATCAATCGGCTGGGGGGGTGATGTTCCAAAGCCTCCTAATCAACCGACAGTTGTCGTGCCTCCACCACAACAAAAACAACCTTCACTTCCACCTCTAGAAGATCAGGAAGAAGCGGAGAAATCGAATTCTCAAAAAACCCGTCGTTGCACCGACGAAGATTCAGACCTGGTACTAGATGAAGCACTCTGGACACAGTTCACTCACGATCCAAAGGTGTGCAGCAACACTGGGTTCTTCAATGTTCCCAAGAGATACAAGTAAGGTCCGGCAGAGCCGGGGGGCGGAAGTTTCAAAGCAGTGAACAACTATAGTTTGGAGAACTGTCCTTGGCCCCTTGCTTCTCTCTCTCTCTCTTTTTCTCTCTTTCTCTCTTTCTCTCTTTCTCTCTTTCTCTTTCTCTTTCTCTTTCTGTTTCTCTGTCTCTTTCTCTCTCTTTCTATCTATCTCTCTAGCTATCTCTATATCTGTTTATTGATCTATCTATCTACCCATCTTTCTCTGCACTTAAAAGTTGCGATGTTCAATCCCCGAAAGTTGACTTCGCGTACTACTTTCGTACTTAAAAGTTGCGATTTTCGAGCCCCAGCTGCGAAACTGGACTTCACGTACTACTTTCGTAATTAAAAGTTGCGATTTTCGAGCCCCAGCTACGAAAGTGGACTTCGCGTACTACTTTCGTACTAAAAAGTCGCGATTTTCGAGCCCCAGCTGCGAAAGTGGACTTTGCGTACTACTTTCGTACTTAAAAGTTGCGATTTTCAAGCCCCGGCTGCGAAAGTGGACTTTGCGCACTACTTTCGTACTTAAAAGTTGCGATTTTCAAGCCCCAGCTGCGAAAGTTGACTTCGCGTACTACTTTCGTACTTAAAAGTGCGATTTATCTATAGATCTACCTATCTATCCTCCTATCTATCTCCTATCTATCTATCTACCTCTCTATTATCTCTCTATCTCTTTATCTATCTAGCTAGTTATTTGTCTATCTATCTACAAATCTATCTATCTCTGTCTATCTCTGTTTCTCTATCTCTTTCTATCTATTTCTCTAGCTATCTCTATATCTGTTTATTGATCTATCTATCTACCCATCTTTCTCTGCACTTAAAAGTTGCGATGTTCAATCCCCGAAAGTTGACTTCGCGTACTACTTTCGTACTTAAAAGTTGCGATTTTCGAGCCCCAGCTGCGAAACTGGACTTCACGTACTACTTTCGTAGTTAAAAGTTGCGATTTTCGAGCCCCAGCTACGAAAGTGGACTTCGCGTACTACTTTCGTACTAAAAAGTCGCGATTTTCGAGCCCCAGCTGCGAAAGTGGACTTTGCGTACTACTTTCGTACTTAAAAGTTGCGATTTTCAAGCCCCGGCTGCGAAAGTGGACTTTGCGCACTACTTTCGTACTTAAAAGTTGCGATTTTCAAGCCCCAGCTGCGAAAGTTGACTTCGCGTACTACTTTCGTACTTAAAAGTTGCGATTTTCGAGCCCCGGCTGCGAAAGTTGACCTTGCAAAAATGCTGCGCCTGCCACCAAATCTGTGCTTGACCTTGCTAAAGTGCTGCGCCTGCCACAAAATCTGTACTTGACCTTGCGAAAGTGCTGCGCGTGCCACGAATTTTGCACTTGACCTTGCGAAAGTGCTGCACCTGCCACAAATTCTGTACTTGACCTTGCGAAAGTGATGCGCCTGCCACGAATTTTGTACTTGACCTTGCGAAAGTGCTGCGCCTGCCACGAAACTTGACCGCGCCTGCCACAAATCACCGTGCTGCCACGCAATTCAATGAAACCTTCGCGCGGCCATGGGCCCGAACGAACCCGTTCCGAACCGTTCCGAGACCGTTCCGAGACCGCCTCCGTACAGGCGTCGCAGCCGAGGTGGTTTGCGCACAGTCCGGAAGCCCAATTCACGCACAGCGCCAACGTTTTCTGCATCTTGCCATCCCCCAGCTCGCAGAACTTGAAAAGTGCTGCGCCTGTCACTTAAGTGCTGCGCCTGCCACGAAATCTATACTTGACCTTGCTGCGAAAGTGCTGCGCCTGCCACGAAATCTATACTTGACCTTGCGAAAGTGCTGCGCCTGCCACGCAATTCAAACCTTGCGAAACCTTCGCGCGGCCGTGCCAATGGGCCCGTTCCGAGACCGTTCCGAGACCGTTCCGAGACCGCCTCCGTACAGGCGTCGCAGCCGAGGTGGTTTGCGCACAGTCCGGAAGCCCAATTCACGCACAGCGCCAACGTTTTCTGCATCTTGCCATCCCCCAGCTCGCAGAGAGTGCTTGCGAAAGTGCTGCGCCTGCCACGAAATCGATACTTGACCTTGCGAAAGTGCTGCGCCTGCCACGAAATCTATACTTGACCTTGCGAAAGTGCTGCGCCTGCCACGCAATTCAAACCTTGCGAAACCTTCGCGCGGCCGTGCCAATGGTCCCGTCTCCGAGACCGTTCCGAACCCGTTCCGCACCCGCCTCCGTACAGGCGTCGCAGCCGAGGTGGTTTGCGCACTGTCCGGAAGCCCAATTCACGCACAGCGCCAACGTTTTCTGCATCTTGCCATCCCCCAGCTCGCAGAGAGTGCTTGCGAAAGTGCTGCGCCTGCCACGAAATCTATACTTGACCTTGCGAAAGTGCTGCGCCTGTCACGAAATCTACACTTGACCTTGCGAAAGTGCTGCGCCTGCCACGCAATTCAAACCTTGCGAAACCTTCGCGCGGCCGTGCCAATGGTCCCGTCTCCGAGACCGTTCCGAACCCGTTCCGCACCCGCCTCCGTACAGGCGTCGCAGCCGAGGTGGTTTGCGCACTGTCCGGAAGCCCAATTCACGCACAGCGCCAACGTTTTCTGCATCTTGCCATCCCCCAGCTCGCAGAGAGTGCTTGCGAAAGTGCTGCGCCTGCCACGAAATCGATACTTGAGAAAGCTATCTATGTGTTAAGCTGGCTATATGTCAAAGCTATCTATCTGTCATGCTAGCCTATTGGAAAGCTATCTATCTGTCAAGCTAGCTATATGTCAAAGCTATCTATTTGTCATGCTGGCTACCTGTCATAGCTATATGTCAAAGCAGCTAGCTCACTTAGTTCCAGTACTACGGAAGTTTCTTGTTAAACTTCCTTTGATTAAGGATATACCCATTAGTCTCCATACAGAGCACTCCGCTGAGGTCTATAACAACTTCTCATTCTTCGCGCGCACATGACAACACGACAAGTACGACATTGGGTCAGTGCGCCGTGGCCTCAACGATGACGACCGAGCAATGCTCACACTGGGTTCTGAGAGACAGGAGTCCCTCAAGGCTCCCACAACACAACAGCTAACCGGCAAGAAACGTAAGGAAGCAACACAACAAGGAATAGGAGCACACACAAGACAATTCCTTGAAGCAAAACTGCTGGAGTGCAAATCCTGGTTGGACAACGAAGTATTCGACTTCGTCGACACCAGGAAACTCCCTGTAAGAAGCTGGGTTTCCAGAAGAGGGGTCTTAACCATTAAGAGAGATAAGAAAGGCAACTTCCTCAAGACCAAAGCACGTGCTTAGAGGATTCCAAGATCGCCAAAAGAATGAACAACAAACGCACAACCCAGCGGCTTCAAGACTTCGATTCAGATTAGCAGTTCAGGCAGCGGCAAACAAAGAGTGGAAGATATTCCACTTTCAAAAGAAAGGTGTTCTCATGAAATACAGACACAGACGTAGTAGACGTAGTTTACACACGTACTAGACGTAGTCACCTCGTGTCACGTCCACACCCAAGAGGCCTAAGACGTAAAGTGGCAAAGACCTCGTGCCTGTAGAGAAAGGCATCCGACTCCACGTGGATGCTCACCAACTCCCCCTCGCTGACGTGTATCGCCAGCCTGATCTCGGCAAACAACTCTGCATCTAACCCAACAGTACTCATTTTGTAGAATCATCAGACTGCTTTTGCCTGCAAAACACCTCCACACATCTCCCGTGAGCGAATCAAAGCCCGAACAGTTCACATTGTCGCTTACCCTCCCCGCTTGCCGTGCCTCTTGCGAATGGGCCCGTAATAGTCTTCATCGTACACGTCCTCAGCCAAACAAGGTTGAAATGACTGCTCTTCTCAATGGGCGTTCCCTTGCAAGATTGTATCATTGTCCCTGCCCTGGCGACTTGTCTGATGCTGGTGAGTTGCGAAACCCTGCAAGCATTTGCCTTGTCTGAGACAATCTCGGCGTGGGACGGAAAATTGCTCTGCGGCTTGCACGGTCACAAGATTAAGTTGGCCGGCAGGAGCTTTCAAGGTCTGCCAGAACGGGGGGGTGTCTAGGATAATATTGGCATTCTGGGGATGTTAGCATGAGCTTGAAGCTTCCTTGATTCTTTCCGTATTGCTTCTGCCTGCCTCTGCTGTTCTGGGCGAACATCCATTAAAAAGACCTCAAACAAGGTACCAACCCAAACAAAGAAAGCACTTCCAGGGAACCTGGAACGCTTCAGAAACCCTTCCAATCCCTTCGCAACCCTCGCACTTATTTCGGAGATGTCAGACACTTCTCGATGGCCAGGTCGCGACACCGGGCCGGCAGGAGGCGCGCCATCGCACGGTGAGGCAGCGACAGTCCAACTCCTCGCTTGACACGTGCGCGGGCGCTGGCTGTGTTAGGGCATGTTTTGCAGGGTTGCTTATTGGCGTGAAATAGCCCAAAACAACACGAACTCACTAATCACCTTGTAAGGGATCATTTGGTTTGTCTTTAGTGGGTGTCATTCGCTGATGAGTTGCCGCCCTTGGGGCTGATCACCAAGTTCGCCATCGTTCCTTGTCCAGACTGGTTGAAAGAGAACAAAGGGGCACGGTGCTCAGACCCGATAGACCCAAAAAGCGGCGTAGGACAAGGTGCCTAAACGGCCGTTGCCCCAGTTGCAACAAAAAAAGCAAAACGGGCAACAAAGATACCCATAAGCAGGGACACGGCAAACTGGGTCCCAATTTCAATTTGGTCTTCGACACCTAAATTTGAAGCTCTTAATCGGCCGAGCCTGCTGCTAGATGACGCTCAAAATCTGCTGACGCTTCAACTCTGCCGGCGCCTCTGAAGCTGCTGACGCTCAAATTGGCGACGCCTATATTCGGCGACGAGCCGGAGCCTGACGCTCTAAATGGGCGCGGCGCTTAAAATGGGCGTGGCGCTCAAATTCGGCCCGACGCCTCTGAGGCTCCTGACGCCTAAATTCGGTCCGGAGCCTAGATTCGGTGCTTCACGAGGGTGGCAGCGCCAGTCCTGCGATCCGGGGAGTTTGCGCACGCCACGTGACATTGAGAAACAACAGAACTGACGCGTCTGGGGCTGATGTTCGTCACACACAATCAAGAATTGAATTGCGCAGAGCTGACGGAGCTGACGAAGCCTCGTGCTTTCTGGGGAGACACCCGCGAGAAACTAAGTATACTAGCGATGGTGAACAGTTGAATTTGCCAAGCTATCGCTTCGCCGAACGCTCACACACAGCACTAAAAAATGCAAGACAGGCTGAAATGTGTCAACGTAACCCCCTAACAATCATCCAAACCTGAACAACACCAGTCCTAGCTGCAACAGCTGCCACCTGGCAAGCATCCAAAACTGAAGAACACCAGTCCTAGCTGCAACGGCTGCCACCATATCTTGGAAGCGGCTGCGGCCCTTCGCAGGCAACAGCCACTCATATGTTGCCACAAGAGGCATGAAGTGTGGACGTTGTGAGTGCCGCCGTGCACGATGACGTTGAACTTTGGGCTCAGGCAGGTAAACTCCGGGTCCCGCCAAAAGGCTGCAGGCAAAGTCAGGATGTTCTCTGGGGGCTCGGCAGAATTGCTTGCAAGGCACTTCAACAAGTTCGGCCGGAGCCGCTGCCAGTCGCCTTCTCCGCCCCACAAAGGGCTCTGGAGAGCATCTCACTCGTGCACCAAGCAGGGTCTTGCAAAGCCTCAGCCAAGCACGCGCGCAAGGTGAGTATACCAAATTCTTCACTCACTCCGCAGAGCAGCCCCGTGGCAGGTTCAAGCATCTTCCACATAGTCCCGTCATCCGGCATCTCGCTGAGGAAGTTTTGCAGTGTTCGCAGCACTTCACCAGTGAAAATGGAGCATCATGTCCTGGATGCTGTCATGTCCACTTAGACCGTCGGCCACCGTCGAGGCCACGTCTGCCATGTCGACCACGACGGACCCGCGCGACACAAGGGCGCCAGGCGCACAACACGGTATCTTGGCTACGGAGGAGACAAGAACAAGAAAAAAAGCAAGCAGCCTGCGACCACAAGCGGGCGTAGCCACTCACAAGCGCGTCTGCAAACGCATCTGTCGCGCCTTGACACCGCCAGGATGCACGAAGCCTTGGTTCGCATCGTTGCAAAAACACGATAAACACGAGCCAGGGCAGCACGCATTTGGGCAGCGCATGCCTGTTGGCACTTGCTTGGAAGCACTTCCTGCTGGCAAGTGTTTGTTACCTATGACTTTGCCACGCCGCAAGTTCTGGAAAGCGTTCCTGTAACAAAGAGAGGCAAGCAGGCCCCCGTGCTAGAGCTATTAAGCGCCGTCTGAAAAAGTAGAGCCAGCCTGGCAGAAGCGAGCGCAAACCCATGATTCCTCCACTGAGTCCCCCCAAGGTCATGGAACAGCAGCGCAGGTGCACCGCTGAGCCGCGCGGAAGCCGCAAGCCATCAAAACCTTCAAAGTGGCAGTTGACATCATGCCATGAGTTCGCTACGACAGGCATAAGCAAGCACACGTCAACCGGAGCATCGCAAACATGAATCAAAAGCAACTTAGAAAATGAACCGTCTACTCGGCCGGCTCTTACTGAGACGGCGCTGATTAGGGGATCGCCCGAACCGGTTGGTTTCCTTTTGGTTTCCCTTTACGACCGCCCTAAACAGGGCACCACCAAAACAAGACACACTTAGAGCGTTTGTTACCTATGACTTTGCTACGTCGTAAGTTCCGGAAAGCGTTCGTGTGAGTGACGAAGAGAGGCAAGTAGCCCGCGCTAGAGCTAAGAGGCCCGCCTGAAAAAGTAGAGCAGCCTGTTTGGCGAAGGCGCCCAAGGTCATGGAAGCAGCGCAGGTGCACCGCTGAGCTGTGTGCCCGCAGAAGCCGCAAGCCATCAAAACCCTTCAAAGTGGCAGTTAACACCATGCCATGAAATCGCTACGACAGGCATAAGCAAACGCACATCAACCGGAGCATCGCAAACATGAATCAAACAGCAACTTCCACCAAAAGTAGACACACCCAGATCTTCCGTTCCCCAAGAGTCATGCTATTTGACGCAGCCTGCGCAGACGTTACGTTTCTTCAGGGCAAGGACTTTCCCGCCACGCTTCCGGATAGTGATTGCTTGAGGAGGTTGAAGGGTTTCATTCGTGCTTACTGGAAAAGGGGCCTGGCAAAAGCGAAACGCTTTCCAGCCTCAAAGGCTGCCGAGCAAGCTGACAGCCTGGAACAATATCAGACCCCGTTTTGGGCAGCTGATTGAACGGAGAAACCCTTCCCCAAACAAGTCGGACAAAAGGGAGCAACCCACGTGCTTAGGCCTTGGTTTAGCACGCATTGCGAAGGGAGCTTCACGAGTCGATTTTTTGAGTGCGACGGAAAGGACTGGAGACGCCCCACCTCTGCATCACCCAGCACTGCATCTCCCAGCAGTTGGAGGTGCAGCCTTGGATAAGAATGACAAAGCTTCCAGGCAAATTATGACTTTGATAAATGCACAAAATTGTCCGTCTTTCCTGGGGTTGCTAAAGCAATTTGGCTTTCCAACAAGAAGCGCCAGGGTTGGTTCAGCACTTGCGCTCGAGACTCAGCCCCGCAAAAAAGCAATATCCACGCAGCCTACCAACCCGCCTAGAGCTCAAGCGCTGGCAGCCTTCTCGGAACACACCGCTTAACTTCCATGCGCTCTGCTGGGAAGGCGCGCGCCAACAGGATTGAACTCGCTTTTGCGCTGTGAACTCATACGTGTCTCGTGAAACTTGGAAAATAAAGAAGAAGGCGCTTGTGCTTTGCTTCACCTTTCACGTGAAACAAGAAAAAACTACCACACTCTCTGCCTCGCTTGTCATTGATGCAAGGCGTGACCGCATCGCGGAGCCCCCAAGTGCAGGAAACCCTTGGTACTGCATGAAAGCGTCAGGCGTGCAGCAGGCACGGCATGTCTTGCCACGTCCACCCTTTACTGCGGACATCAAGAACGCGCTGGATACGCACCACAGCCAGGAACTTCGCGCCCCTACATACTCAATAACGTGCGGCCGCAGTTCTGGATCGATCAGGTGCATGTAGTCCGCGAGGCGATGGGAGTCTAGCCCTACGTCAACTCCCGCGACCTCAGCGAACCCATGCACTGGACCCTGGTGTCGCTTGAAGCCTGTAGGGCCAAAAACATGCCATGCGCCTGGCTGACAAGCCTTTGCGAGGTTGCCCTTGCGAGCTTGGTACTGCTGCACTTCCACGAACTTGCGACCATCCACAAGAGCACGGCTCCACTCAGGATGCAACATCCGTCGGAAAGCCAGACTCGCGCCGAGTTGGGCCTTTGTCGCAAGTTGGCGCGGCGTCCCTGCAGCCTGGCTGCCCTCCGAGCCTTTCGCTGTTAGGCCCGGAGGCAAGACTGGGCTGGGCTGAGTTGGAGCTTGCTCCTTCTAGCCTTCCCCGCCCCCGCTTGCTATGCACAGCTATTGGCGGGGAGCAAGAAGCAGAAACGTCCGCAGCACAAGCCGACGTAACGTCCGCAGCACTATCAGTGGATGACTCCTGCGAAAACGCCGCTGCTAAAGCGTCCAGCACCACCATCAGCAGATTCCTGCATGAGCTGCGCTGCAACGTGAAACATGCTCTCCACTCTCTCTGCCAACTGAGCGTCTGTCCGTGCCCAACGGAGCAAGGAAGGCCAATGGAAGATGGTGTAGTTGATCTTCAAATAAGCAAGGTCTGATAAGAAGGTGAACCAAGGTACTCCCACGAAACGTTGCGTGAGACCACAGCCGCTCAACAGGCACAGTTCCACTCTGGATGGGAAGGCCTCCCTCGTGAAGGAGCGGCGCCACTTTGCGCCAATTCCACAAGCCTGCAATCCGTGTCTTGTTGCAAAGTCGCCGGTAGTGCAAGCGAACCTTTGCGGCGATCGCTGACCTCGCCCGCGGAAGCAGCGCGTGTCCTTGCGCTGACCGGAGAACGCGCCTCCGCCGCTGAGCTGTCGGCCTTTCTACTTTGCGCGCAGACTTGTACCACAGAAAAAGGCGACGCACCTCCGCCCTGAATTCTCTTTTGCAAGTGAAGTTCCGGAACCCGCAGCTGGCATGCAACACGGCGCCTAGTCGCCTTGCAAGTCAAGCTGCTACGCCTCTAGGCGGCCTCTGTCCAAACATCCGCGCCGGGTGTTCAAAAAAACGTCGCAGCTCTTCTGTCGCGGCCCTTGACTTTTGCCATTTCTTTTGGCAAGAGGCCACGCGCAATTGAACTATGTCTTGCAACTGTTCCTGGGCAGCGCGGCTAAGTGACGCCGCGTCCTCAGCAAAGACACCCGTGGTTTGTCTACTGTTGCGCTGCGCTTGACCTAGGCATGGAGTCCCTCCGAGAGCTCC